ATATAATTAATTTATATTATATTCTTATAATTCTTAGTGTGTGTGTCGCTTAAAAAAGATTCTATTTTAGAGACTAGATATTTTGCTGATCGCAAATAGTAATTGTACACTCTTATTATTTATAATTACATAATAGAGAGAATTTAGATTTCTCACCAAAAAATACCAGCGACATGTATTATCATGAATCATAATTAAACCCTAATATTCTTAAAAATACAATATGCTTGACCTATATTTTGCCCGTTGCTGTTTCCTTACTCATTTTAGCCGTGGCAAATTTCTCGTTATGTACTTTAATATACGCGCATGTGCACCGAGGCGAGCAGTGAAATGTCGCTATTAGCTAGATAGCTAGATGAAATATCATTACGATGGACGGTGTTAAAATACGACGCTATTTGATTCATGTATATGTAGATAGTATCTATTTTTCGCCTGGAAAATGTTCTACCCGGTGACAATGCGGGAAATAGACCACCGGAATCGTTTAGTGAGGCTCAGATAGTAGCAATTCCCTTTTGCATCAAAAATGCAATATGCAATGTGCAACGTACTCGGGAAGTTCGTCGAAAACCGGCAAAATTATCGGAATTGCAATGTCCATATACGAATTAAAGCAGTATTGTTTGTCACCATATATGCATTCCATTAATTGGATGGCTTTAAATCAAAACGCATTATTTGCGAAACTTTCAAAATTGGAATTTTGTCATTCACCAGTTCCGAAAGTAGGTCGAAAAGAGATCATTAAACCATTACAAAAAAAATTCAGTATTACGAATACATATCGGTAAAAAATAAACATTTAATATATGCATATACTATATTACATTTGATAATATTAACGTTTGGTAATATATGTATATATTAGAAAGAGAGAGAGAGAGAGAAATTATATTTTATACATATTTAAAAAAAAAATTACATTTATTATATTATATTTAAATCATATTCGTGTTTTATGAACGTATGTGTTTTTATGTGATCGTAAGAAATTTCTCTCACACGAATAGTGAGATATTATATATACATACTAACGAGACCGGAATATATTAATATTAGAAAAATATGAAATAAAATGAAAAAGTTGCAGAATTTTATTTTCCACATTTATTTCACATTCACATTACTAGATGTTGATTAATGCCGATATACTGCAGATATAATCTGCGCAAAGGGAGAGCGCATGAATACATGCGCGAGATGCGTGCGTGTTTGTTTTTTTTATCTTATAACCACATATATTCCATGTGGCCAAAAGAATGATAAGCATTATATTAGCATAAAATTCTACATACGATTCATATTTTTATCATGATTTAAGAGCTCGAAAAGTAATAATCAATTTGGAATTATTTACATTTCATCATGTTGTAAATGCATAAAAATTGATTTGTCCGTTTAATATTTACAGGCATAATATTTTTCGTATATATTTTTATAAGAAAACGGTACTTAAATTTTTATTCCAATTTTCCTGGAAGAAAAAGTACTCTTTCATATTTTTCTTTTCGTAATTAGTATGCATGTATTTGCAACGAAGCCAGAGTTCAAAAGTATCTTTTAAATTGGATGTTGAATAACAACCTTCTGTGGAAAAATTTTAAAAGAATATAAAAGTTTCTCAAATATTTTCTTTATTCTAAACATGACGTCAAGATAAAAAATAGAGTCAATTATTTCTGGTGTGTACATACATTACGAATGTTTCACGTTAATTATATAGAAAGAACGCATATATGTTTACTTATGTATCATGTTATCACTTTGTATCTCGAAATAACGATTATAAAACTATTCGAAATCATCATGTACACAATCACAATGAATATATATTAAATGCGATATTTATATGATTACATGAAGTAATAAATAATTAGCAATTATCAAAACTCAAATATTATTACACAATTTAATTATTTAATTTGATTTAAAATAATTATCTAATTTCTTCTACAAACAAGTTATTTTCGAAAGATTATAGAAAAAAGAAAATAAGATTTTTTTTTTTCAAGGCACTTGGACCACTCTTTATTTGGTTCGAATCGTGATCTCATCTCTCTACAAATACCGGTTTTACTAGCATTGTAAGAATTCGTGCATCGTGCACTTAAGAGAAATACGATGTCGTTAAAGATTGCGTGTTTCAGAAGACGCGTGATAAAGATTCCGTGAATAGTTACACGCGCAAATAGAGGAGGGACTCGTATGGAAGAATGATACGCTCGTTTGAATGAGAGTGGGGGAAACAGGATATACCGAGAAACATTGTATACATATACATTATAACAGTTATCGCAGCCACGAATGGAATACCCGAGCCTCAACGCGCGTAATTGTAATATCAATCCGGCCCCTAATCCGGCAGATATAGATATATATTCAAATAAAATAAGCGAGACAGAGCGGCTTCTAGATAAACGTAATATTTGTAGCTTATATCCGGAATGTTCAAAACGAACGTATCCAAAAAAAAAAAATTTTAACGAAAGCGCTATTACATACACACACATATACGCATTGCAACGTGGACGAAAGAAAAGGCGTCGCAGAGTCCGCGACCTCTCGTAACATCATGTCAACAGACTCACCTTTCGGTACCTCCTCGTCGCGGCCAGGCAGGATGTGGCGGTCAGCACGCGGCTCATCTCGCACCATCTCACGACGAATATCGCCCGGCAGGATACCGCTGCCATTTCGTCTCGGCGTCGTCGAATAACCGGAACACTTTGGCGTATTTCGCTCGATCACACCACCGTTCGTTTCTCTCTCACGAGTCACGGAAACAACACCTGCCTGCCACCGTCGCGGACAATCGGGCAGACCAGCGCGAACTACGACCGGCTTCGATCAACTGCTACCCGCGGCCCGCGGCTGACGGGCGGCATCGCGCGCACGAGCCCGTGCCCCGTGCCAGCGAGACCCCGACCTTGCGGCGGCCAGCTGACGTGACATGCGCGCCGCGCCACGCTCGACGCGCATTGGCCCGATGTAACTGTTCGCGGCACATTTGGAATATTTGAAGCGCGACTAGAGAGTATTTTATCCCAGGGGAACATTCGCGGATGTTTTATCATTGATATATTTTGAGATTAATACTTTCATATGTATACTACATATGTATAACGAATTGACATTTAGTTTAATATAATATAATATTATATGTATAATAATGGAAAATGTGAAAAAATTATAGACTCTCATATAATGCTGTTTTAAAAAGGATAATTAAATGTTAATTAGATGGATATTTCTTTTTCTTCTTTATCTTAATATTTTGCATATTCTAACTGCATATTTTAAGAAGTATAAAATTATGCGATTTTTTTCTGTGGGAAAAATATTTATCCGACTTCCATTAAAATGTATTTTTTGAAACTGGTGCATCAATTTAAATCGAATCTCATGTGTCTTTGTCGTATCAATTAATCTACCAGTATTAATCGATTCAATAAAACATCGGATAATCGAAATATATATACACTCCATTCAAGTTTCTTATCAATTATATTAACCTTTTAGTAGGAAATATTCTTTTTGTATACAAAATATGTATACAACTTTGAGACTTATCTCTGCGGTGAACGATGTGATAACGTGACACAACTAGACAAGAGATTCGATTTCCAGAGGAAAGAATGTCATCCTTTTTTATAGATGACGATTATGACTTTAACGATTATGCTCGTTCCTTTAACAATAATACCACTATTTTAACGGCACACTTCCATTGGAATTCGCTGACTCGCCTCGTCCTCACGATTCTGTTACGCGTTGGCTTCGTCCTCGTACAAGTTGGCAGCGTACCGATCAACAACGTCAATCTAATACTCCTTCAAAATGTGGTCGACTTATGTTGCGTTACCGTCATGTACTTCCTCACGGGCTTCCTCATCGCCTACAATGGCGACGTGGGTGGTTTGATCGGCGAAGGTTCCTGGATCGGTGATCCAACGATCGACAGAAATGAAGCGATTGTCGGCTGGCAAGCGGTGGTGATCGCGTCGGCGATTTGCACCAGTGCTATCGTGGGTAGAATGCACACAGCGGGATATCTGCTGATAAATATCCTCTTATCTGGTCTGATACAACCGTTGCTGATCCACTGGGCCTGGACGGCTGAAGGATGGATGGCGAAGAACAAATTGGGTGGAAGAGTAGTCGCTTTCAAGGACTACGCTGGCGCGGGGGTGGTTCATATCGTCGGGGGATTTTCCGGCCTGATTGGATGTCTCGTCCTCGGCAGGAGAATGCTTATATTGAGAGATCTGGATGATGCGAGTATTACCGCCGGTTCCGCTGGGACCGTTTTCGGGGGCCTTCTATTAATATTCGCCGGACTTCAAGTAAATGTCTTTCTGAATTAGATAACAATTTCTTAGTTATTATAATTTAAAAAAAAATTGTTTTTGACAATTAATATAAAGTCTATTATATTATTATGAAGCTCAGAAAATTGTAAAAAAAATTGCATTTTTTTATATACTCTGATTATTACAAAAATTAATTAATGTAGATAAGAAAAAATATATCATATGAGAAGATATTGTTGAAATTCTAAGAAGGCTTTACGATTTCAAGGTATTGTCACGACTCTTAAACTTAAGAGTCCTTCGTATGATTAAGCGTCCTTCTTTGAATTCTGTAGATAGAAACCGTTAATCACATAAAAACTAACTGTACTAATCAGTGATGTACGTATTTTCAGGGCTTACGCACGAGTACGTACGACGGTGACAAATTCCGAATATATACACGGGATCCATCGCACGCATACATCAACAATTTACTAGCCGCATCCTCGTGCACGCTGCTAGTCGTGGCCCTGCATTTCATATTTTGCCGAGAAACCTTCAATCATTGGACCGTGATGAGATGCGTTCAAGGCACAATCGTCGGTGTGGTGACAGTATCAGCTGCCACGAACGATTATTCGCCACAAATAGCTATTGCCTTGGGTTGTCTGGGAGGTATCACGTTCTATTTGATCTCCAGACAGGTTTTTGGCAGCGCTTTGGAGGATTACTGCAATATCATAGCTATACACCTAGTTTGCGCAATTCTCGGTAGTACATTGGCTCCTCTTTGTGCTGCGCGCACTGACGAGGATACCGTAACGATATTGTGGAGTTTCTCCTGGCAATTAATTTGTCTGGCCGCATTGTTAGCTCTGGTTGGTACGGCGATGTTGTTAGTCTTCGGCATGCTGGAATGCTGCAGTATACTTCGCAATAGATCGGAATGTCTGAACCACACAAGGGCTAATGCTGCCATCGATAGAGGTCCGCCGAGATCGTTTTTGCAGAGACTCTTCTTTCCTGATAGCGGATGCCTCTATCTGCAACCGAGTTTGATATTCGGTACGAAACATCGTCCAAGTGTTGGTTCCAGATCTTGGAAGTATCAAACGGAGATAGACAAACTTGAAGAAGGGAGACCTACCGGGAGTAAACGGAATGTGAATACCAAAATTGACGATAATATTATGAAAGTTCAAGTGCCAGGTTGGTAAAGTTTACCAAAATGTAAAGTTACTCGGGTTTCTCTTCATTATCTTTGATTATTTAACATCAATTTTATCTTTTTACAATTACAATTCTTTGCTTTCACTTCATGATTTACTCGATTCTCTCTTCCCCTCTACTGTGTATTTTTAAACAATATTTTTTAATAATTATTCCAAAACCGATGCAGAAACAATTAAAAATAGAATTTACATTTCGGAATTGTAGCTTTAAGATATGTAAACAATAATTAATTTGCAATGTCCTTGATAAGAAAAATGAAATATTTACAGAAGCAAGAGTAAAGAAAGCAAGACAAGTGCATACTTTGCCTGGGTGTATACCTGTGTTGATAGAGGATCAAGGTGGTACTGGTGAATCGATTAACAATGATCTTTCGGAAATTGGAAGAAGACAATTTCTTGGAAAAGAAATAAAATGTATTTTAGATCCTATCGAAGAAATAGATGAGGAGATTGCGAAAGAATTTGAAGTCAAGGAAAGTAAGGCTCAACATAAAATTGAGGATCACAATGTTGGTGATAAAAGTTCAACCTTGATGGAAAATTTTAATACGAAACCTGCAGAGCCGGAAGATTTGAATGAATCGAATTATCAGCTTCGGAGAACTATAAAACTGATGAATTTATATCACGAATTTGTCAAAGAAGATATGAAAGTCGTATTGGGACCGAAACGCATGGATTCTTCATCCAGTGATTCGTGCGATGAGGATACTATCTTTGAAAAGACATCAGATTTGAACGAAGGATATTGCAACAATGATTCATTAATTTATAGCGTAAAGTAGTTATGTTCCTTACTACCGCAATAAGATTTGTTTAAAACGCGCGGTAGATATCTGCATACAATGTCAAAGTGGCAAAGTTATCAAAGGACAAGCCATATTCCTTAGAGCTGTCATTCTGAGGATATTATACATAACTTTGATGAGAAAATAGTTCCGCACATAAGGAACAGACCGCTTGCTGTACCTAAATTGTTCTAGTTCTAGTTTTAGGACGGCGTTAATATACACAAGCAAGATATATATATCAAAGATGTATCTTAAAAGAGAATAAAGAGAATCGAGTGTGTCATATAAAATAATTATAAATAAAATTATATTAAAATTAAGAAAGATATGATTCAAAATGTGTGTGTGTGTGTGTACTAGAAAAAATAAGTTATGTATTGTATAGCATTTTTCAATATGTATCATTGTTACAAAACTGTCTAGTCTAGGATTTTCAGTGCTTCTTTTATTAGAACTTATAAGCTATTCGTACAATTATTACAATATTTTACAATAGAATAATTATAAGTTAAATAATTAAAGTTTTGTTTTTTAGAGTGTCATACATATATCCTACGCGCAGTTTTGTTTATTCATATAACAATGGCATTTCTCTTTCTGTGTGACAGTTTCTATTGGAACAGAATATTTACAGAATGCTCGTTATTTCTGTGCGTATTTATACGCAAACGATTGCACCCACGAAATTTGAAAGCAGTTAGCAATACGCCATCATTGATTATATATATAATCATCAGTATTTTATATATAATTGTAAAAATCCAAATGTTCTTAATTTATTTGAACAATGCATAATAACACAAAAACAACAAATATATATCCCAGTACTTATATTATCATATGTTTTTAACATGTATATATAATTTGATAGCACTCGGATATTAATGCTGTACATAATTTTACAATGTTATATATTTTACTATATTATGTTCAATCATATTATATACCAACACAAAATTTTCAAAAAATAGAAAAATAAAAAAGCATATAACTAGAGAATACAAAATAGAAATATAGAAAAAGACCATATATAAAGTTTATATGTGAAATAGAAAAATAGGAAAGATAATTATAGAAAATGTGAAATCAATGATGAGATAATGCTAGATGTTGGCCCTGCTTACACTTTTGTGCGATTATGATAAATTTCGCGGGGTTATCATCTACCTCTGTTTGCCGTCAGGTTATTGTCAGGTAGTAGCAAGCCGGACACTCGTTGCTACCGCCATACCGAACAAAATTAAGGATTGACTCTAAAAATCCAACATGATTGATACGTTATAATCATAATCATAATATATACAACATTGGTAAAATGGCACGATTCCATAAAACAGGTCAATAAGTTGATATTATCTTATTATCACTAACAACTACTGTTATAACACTAATAATAACTTTGTACATGATTTGTTAAATATTATGGCATAATTTTAACGGCAGTATAAAAATGAAAACAAGTCATACAAACGTAACAAAAGATTTATATATAGAAGATTATCTGAATATAACATGATCCATGCATAACTCTGATGCAGAGATCATTGAACAAAATCATCAGAAATATTCATAATAAGAAACAACTGATGTGATACTAAAACTGTAATGAAAGATGTTTTTTTTATTTCATCTTATAATGAATTCAGTTGGATGCACTGGTGCACATTACTGATTATCGTACACAAATTTACAATATAACCGAAAGTAATTAAAACATTAAGATAACTATAATAATATATGTTATTATTATCATTATTCGTATTGAACATTAATAATAATAGTTTAATATTTATTTTATTTTTTTAATTACTTATATCATTGTAAATTTCTGTATGATAATCTTTATGTGCACCAGTGCGCACTAGTGCATCCAATCAAATTCGCTATTGGATTGCTAGTCTTGGATTAAGACTTTTTCTTAATGGACCATACAATATTAATACACTTTTCAATATAAAAAGTGCGGCAAGCAGGTATTATAATACACAGGTAACTATCCCATCAGATTTTTAAATTTCCTTCTTCCCATAAACTCCTTACAATGTACAATTATAGATAGTCACAGATACACAGACAGGATTATTAAAAATATTTGTACATATAGTTCGCATTGGAGATAATATATACGTATAAGTGACTAATAAATAACAAAAAAAAAAAAAAATGCAATATAAATCAGATCTCATTAGCATTCTTCTCAATCAGCAAAATCTCGTTGGACTGATTTTCAATTTATGTTTTTTTGAGGTACAATAAAATAGATATTTTGCATGAACATCACTCCAAAACGAGCAATTGGATACATACACACATGCACACAAGAATGCACACACGCGAACGCGTAAGTATGTATTCTGTTATTCATATATCAAAAGTAAAAAAAAAATGCCGATAAATAATCTTGCAAAGTCGTTATGTTTCATTTGGGCTTAAGCTGAAAGATCAGATCTAATACTATATCTTACTTTACAACACTTTTCAAATCCATGATTTATTAATGTACAATACGCGACAAATTTTAAAATCTTCACACATGCATAATTCCATATATAACTTATCAGCAGATAATCTGCGTAGTTTGCCAAGTAATCGTTTATCAATCTAATATTCGCACGAGTTTGACTTTGATAGCGTTGATTATTGCAAGCGGACATTCGTTCGCCATCGCATCCGGGATCGAAAAACTTTGAAATTCATCTCGGATATATCTGATCTGTCTATTTCGAATTCTTTTTGTTCGTATAATACATTTATGTTAACGTCAAAATAATGTGTTACATCAATATACAAACGGACGCGATCATACATCTTTTGTTGGCTCTTCCATATCGCCAATACCAAGAATAGTATTGTCAAAATATACACACTTCTCGTCATTATCGTCATCATCATCGATTTTAAATATGTAACGAGAATTAACACATATACTGGTATCTCCGGAAATTGATGGGCTCAAGAAAAAAAGCCCCGAAATCTTACGCTCGCATGGATCCGGTGATTAATGCAAAAAAAAAAAAAAAAAAAGATGAACCGCCTGATAAAAAAACCAATCAGTACAATTCACCACAATAATCTTTACATATGAAAAGTATATATTTCTCAAAACATGATATGGATAAGTTTATATTGAGGAAATCGAATTTTAATTTTCTAAAATATTGCGTTTAGTTGAAGAGTACTCTTATCAATTTGATATCATTTGTACAAAACAAGCATATCACGTTATTGTAGTAAAAATTCCTGTATTAAAAATTCCTTTACTCAAATTTGATATTTTTTTATAAATTTCTAGAATCATGGATATATTTTGTCTTTTGTTTTATAATTTTTTTTGGTCTATATATCATAAAATTACTAAAAACAGGTCCGTAATATTTTTTATCAGATATGCATACTTTTCTTTTTTTAAATGAATTTCAAGTCGAATGCAAAACGATTGCATTGATCTGTTTTTTCTTGGCCCAACTTATATATCGATAAATAGGACGAAAGGTGCCTAATCACGGTTGCTGAGCAATGGCACCAGTAAACTATGTATTCTTAAAATCTCTTATCTATGCGGTAACGATGATAATGATGATAATAATAATATAATAGTAATAAAATTAAAAAAAATCTATTAATAATATTATTTTAGCTTAACAATGATCGACAATTACAACTGTGGCTTCGTAAAACCGCTTAGTGACTAGCTTTTGCAAATTCCATCCCATTAAATTAGGCCAGTCCACTGAGATAGGCCAGTCATGGTCCTTCTTTTGAAAACGCAGAATCCAGTGGAGTTTCGAATGTACAATTAATTTACAGGTCTTCCATTAGCAAACGATGTATTTCGCTGACAGCGGAAGCAAGCAGCCGAGAAACACTAGAGTTTCACGTAATTGACGTTTGCTAGGTCATCACAGTGTCGGTGAGATCTTCCTTGAGCCACTGCGGGATCGTTCTGGACCCAAGTCGCTTTAATAATTTCACTAGAGCCGTGTTATGAGATAAATAATATCTCTGCAAATGAGATATAGCGTATAAAACACATTATTTTATATGCACACCAAATAAAAAAGAATATATTTACAAGAGCTTTACCTGTAATAATTTGTACGATCTATCTTCCATTGGTGGATACTGGCGACCTTTACTTTTTCCCAGACACTTAGTGCGGTCTTCATTGGTTACTTGGCAAAAGAAACCCTTTTTCGGATCGTACCTCAGATGCGAGGAATAATTAAACGCAGGTGTTATCTTTAAAAATCGTTGCAATTCATGCAGCGTTTCTACGGGATTTTGTCGCAACTGTTCACCGTCGATAATGTGTAATTGTTGCGGTAAATAAAACGATAACCATCTCTCCAAATGTTGGGCGTATTTTCCGGGATTTAGACACCTGCAATTGAGTATAATATTATGTTGAAATTTAACTAAAAATTAATGAAAATATTTTATTTCATATATTGACAGTACGAAAATTCTATAATCTTAATGCTTATCTATTCGTTAATTTTCGACTGCTTTAATAAATAGCGTCCATTATTAGCATCTAGTATATTCATATATTATTAGGCGAATACCTCTTAGATTATTGCGTTCATGTTCAATTATTACCTATTTCTAAGGTCCCGTAAGGGTTTCGGCGCGGAATCACTTGCCGTAATGACCTCATGGAAGGAATAATTGTTCGCTACCGGATCTCCGTGCACTCTGGTATGCTGGTACCATGAATAAGCACGTCTGGCTGGAGACAATAATATAGTGATTAGTTTAGCCCTCGGAAGAAGCGCATGGGTCCTTCGCGGCACTAATTCTCCGTCGAAATAAGTAGCAGATTTCTCAAACAGATATCGAGAGCTCTCATTTTTCGACGCCGGAAAAAAGCTCATGTACCTGGAAAAGTTATGCAAATCATATATTCTTGTTCTTTATATCTAAGAATACAGGATCAATATTTTCGATCGATCATTTACCAATCGAGGCCTTTGTAATAATTTTTTCCATTGAAAAACTGTATCTCTTCAAAAGTGTCGGGACTCGGTAGATTGCTGCTTATTGCTGGATGAATAGATAGAAACGTATACAATGCTGTGGTGCCAGTTTTTTGAGGTCCGATTACTAGAAATCGCGGCAATTGATCGCAAGTTTTATTACGAGACCAGATCTTTTGGTGTCTTTGATCGTCACATGGATTCTGTAACAAAGAACAAAAACTTGATGTTGTAGAAGAGTACAACTAAAGTTTTTGAATATCTAATCTACTCACTCCCCACACTGGATCGGCCTCTTCGGGATATAATTGAAAGTAACGTTCTCCAAGTTGGAGCGGCGGTGCACTGGATAGTCTTAAATTCGTCCAACACTGAATGAATTTTATAACCGACTCGAAAGTGTACGATGCCAATCGATCGTTTCCATAATTCGACATATGCGTCATAAAAATATTTATCTAAAAAAGCAATAAAAAATAATTTAACTGTTTTTGTATATATATCATTATAAATATAATAATATTAAATTAAAGAAGGTATATATAAAATAAAAAAAAAAATAAGACTAAATCAAAAAGAGAAAAAAACTAACAAAATAAATATTTTATGCCGGATAAAATTAATAACAAAATTTATCGATATGCTATATCAATATATAGTAATTAAAAAGATGAACACCTATAATACGAAAGATCAAACAAATCCTACAAAAATTGATGCCATTACGGTTGATTTACTCACCGGATTATATACAATCGTTTGGAAAAGTTCACCGCCCTGTATCGACTCGTCCAGCTTTTCCCTTCCGCCTGGATACCTCTCGATAAAAATCGTGTGAGTAAAAAGGCCGCAAGTTTGCCTTGGTAGAACCTTGAGTATATAAAATGAATAATTTTATATCTGACAATAAGTATCAGATTTATCATCTATATACGCCAGAAAATCCAGTAAAATACAAAATAAATAAATTATTTATTCTAAAAATAAAATTTGGGCAAAAATCATATAGATTTGATTTACATATTGCCTTTGATAAAATAATATAATCATGTTTCTCATATCCATACGTAAACAAACATCTAATTAATTATTAGTGGAATTTTATGATCGATTTAATATTTATGACCGTATTTAATATTTACGTATGTAAATTATAATGTGCAGTAAAATGGAGATTTTCATATTTCGGAAATTACGGGATAAACAATATTTAATCGCAACATGCAGTTAATACAAATAACATTTTCAATATATTTATGTGTGCAAATTATATCTCGTATCATATCATATTTATCATTAATGTTTAATTTAGAGATGATTTAATGACTATTGAACCGATTATATAATTTTACCTTTATGTTACGATGAATAAAGCCGCGTCTCAAACGTGCCGGCCTCAGGTGCGGATACTCTTCGGTGCTCGTGACCTTGATGTTCCATACTCGTTTCCATGCTTCGTAGAGACCTTCATGGACCGGGTAAACGCCGGAGTGATGCGGACTTACGCTGTATCCGCTTCCGGTCGGTATACCGTGGTCCTTTGCGAATTGCTTGTTCAACGCCATGTCCAATTGTAGATGAGTTACATTCTCGTACAGATGCGGTTGTTGGTGGTTCCACATGTGGGAAAACCACGTAAATCTAAAAGCCCGTGGCATTTTTTTCCAAGTTTTTAATAGTTATTTTTATTGGGTATATTGGTGTTGTATAAAAAATGACTTTTCAAAGCATTTGAAAAATCCTTTGTATTTTTCATTCAATGTCGACGACCGCAATTAATTACCTTGTGGTAATTTACATCGAGGCTTTGTAACGTTTTATAGGGATCATTGCAGCATTATAATAAACTGTCGCGTGACATTATACGATAAAAGCTATACTATGATGTCGATGAGATCATAAATCTAGTTTATATATATATATATGCATGCACACACTATATGGATTATATATATGTATATTTTATAACAATTAATTTAATCAATAATTGTAATTATTAATACTGTGTAAATCTGGTTTATATATATATCTGGTAATACTGTATTAATCAATTATTTTTAAAACTATACAAATTTAATTGATGATATAATATAATACTTAATTAGTTAAAATCTCTGTAATGTAATATTTATCGCGTTTATTACGCTTATAGACGACTAATACTCGGATTTGGCGTACCTGTCTACGT